GGAAATAAAAAGAAACACCGACCCCTTTGGTGGTATAAATATTATTGTCGTAGGAGATTTTGGTCAAATCCCTCCCGTGCAGGACTCTATGATTTTTAAACCCCCTAATATCACCGAACTTAGTCTTCTGTTAGAATCGAACTTCAACTGGCGCGACTTTAAGATGTTTGAATTAACCGAAATTATGAGGCAAAAAGGTGAAAAAGCTTTCATCGAAGCTCTCAATAATTTATGTTGGGGCACGCTCACTGAAGAAGATATGAAGCTTTTTAAATCGAGGCAAGTAAAAAATGAATCCGATGTCCCAAAAGAGGCTATTCGTTTATATTGTTTCAATAAGCAGGTTGACGCGTTTAATGCGGCAAAAATTTTCGAGTGTCCGGAAGCAGAATCCGTTTCTGAGGCGAAAAATACTGTATTAGGTAAGGCAACTCAAAGCCGAATCGATTACGCGGTTAGATCTTTGATGAACAAAAAATTAGATGATTTAAAAGGCCTACCTCATAGAGTAGTCTTTAAAGTAGGGATCAAGTACATGATCACCATTAATGTTAGTGTTCGCGATGGCCTGGTCAACGGCGCTGTCGGTACTTTAGTCAGTATTACTTACAAGCCTGATCAAGACACGATTATTGACAGAATTTGGCTCGATTTTGGTGAAAATTCGAATGTAGGCAGTAATGCTCGACTGGCTGTTCGTGATTACATGAAGGCGATGAAGCTCCATCCGCGACTTGTACCGTTGAGTAGGAAAAGTGTCGTAATTTCGGGATCTAAAGACTGTCGTTTAAGAATCGTCCGAGTGCAGTTCCCTGTCGTTCCCGCGGAAGCAATGACCTGTCATAAAAGTCAGGGCCAAACATACGAATCAGTGTGTATCGACTTCAGTAAGCCAGGGAAATGGACTAGGCCGGTAACATACGTAGCCTTTAGCAGAGTCACCAGTCTTTCGGGTTTGTATATTCTAGGAGAATTTAAACCGCCACCTCCACCAAAACCCAACGATCCTATTGTGCTTGAAATGGAAAGGTTAAGAAAAGATCCTTTGCAACTCGCGTTCTGGAACTTGGAAAATAAGAGTGGTCTCGTAATTGCATATCATAACGTGAGATCTTTTAATAAGCACAGCTGTGACGTAAAGTCTGATATGTGGTATTCCAGAGCGGACATACTGATCTTAGCGGAGACTTGGACCTTACCTACGGATGAAATTCATTTTCCTGGCTTTCGAATCGCGTATCGGTCCGATTGTGATAAAATTAGGGCCCCGCGTGGATTGCTCTGTTTCGTTAAAAACGGAGTTGATGTTTCCCAAGTTGACGGAAGGAAGGAAACAGGTGAAAAATTCGTGATGGAGGCAATTCGATTCAAAGTAGGAGACACTTGGGTATTAACTGGCTATAAATCACCTGGAACCCCCGTGTCTGTTTTCAAATCGATTATCGAAGTGTTGATTCCTCAAAAATCTCGGGTGACACTATTAGGAGATTTCAACTTTGACATAATTGGTCATCGTGAAAAATGTCTTTTGCCTTTCTTAAAAACTCATGGAATGACGTCTGCACTTTTACCTGAAACTGTGACGACTGATTTCAATACGCAAATAGATGTAATTTTCTCGAACTTTCCTCTGGGTAGGCGCGGAGTTTACGAAAGCTACTTTTCAGACCACAAACCGATCTATTTTGAACTTGATTCCTTAGCCGGTGAAACTTATGCCGAGCTTGCCTCAAAGGACCTCCCTCATTCATAAATATCCGACTTAATGCAGTTCCTAA